AATCCCATTACATATCCTTGCAGTCCACACCATTCCCAAATCAATCATCCACACCCTCAACAGATACATGGCCAACTTTTTGTGGGGACAAAAGGAAGGATCCCATAAACACCACTGGGTTAGATGGGCACAAATAACAAAACCTGAGGTAGAGGGAGGGCTGGGGATCAAAAGCTTAAAGGACCTACAACAAGCACACACCCTTAAACTTTGGTGGAAGGCAAGAAATGACATTGGGATATGGGGGCCCTATGTGAGAGCCAGCTATATGAAAACAGGAATCATGAAGGAAAGGATCACTGACTCTCCAACATGGAAAAGGATTTGCAGATGTAATGATCTGGCAACATCCCATACCACCACCACTAGTTCAGGCTTGCTTTGGGAAGGAGGAAACTTCAGCCTCAAGAGTGCTTTCAACATGGTCAAGGGAAGTGGGACAAACCTATTATCCTGTAAATACATTTGGCACAGCTCAAACATCCCAAAAATCAAGATCTTCTTGTGGAGAACACTTTCCCTAAAAACCTATGCCGTTTCACGGCAGCCCTTCCCAGTTCCTGTCCTCTTTGCCATAAAGATAACGATGACATTGATCACTCCATGCTCCACTGTCCAACTGCAAAAGAGGTATCGAACTTCATGGCTTCCATTTCTAACGGCCCAAGGGTTAAGGAGAACACCACATTACGTCAACATCTTCTTGCATGGTGGTTTGGTAGCAACACCAAACACTTCAGAGGAAACCTACGTCTCTTCTCCCCAGGCCTCTGCACTTGGTCCTTGTGGAAGGCACGTAACTCTTATATTCATAACGCAGCTAAACCAAGAGTGGAGGGTATTATTAAAACATGCCTCAAAACTCTCCAAGCTTGGGCATGGATAAACAGGAACAAAAAATGGATGGCTCATGATGACGACTTCAAAGGCATGGGATTAGATTCCTTTTGGCGAAATGGTCGTAGAATTTTATCCAAATCCTTTGTATAAGCTGGTTGTTTTCCTGCTGTATTACCCTTCCGGGCAACTTGTATCCTCTCTCTTCTTTTCCTTTAATTATATATATATATATATATATATATATATATATATATATATATATATATATATATATTTAAAAAAAACTTATTAAAGAAAATAAAAAAAGCTACAAAGGTGGGGGTGGCCAAAAGAAACCCCAACATTACGGCCAAAATACAAAAAAGGAGAAAATGAGAAAAAAGCCAGCAACTACTGCCAAAGGAAGTTACATTATATACTACTACGAAGCAAAAAGAAAAAAAATCCAAAAGAAGAAAAACAGTAGTATCTGATGGTTCTGCAAAGCTGCCAAAGCATTGATGTTGAAACCCTCAAAGTCCCCTAATCTCACAAAATGCGCTGGGTGTGAAGACAACATAGAGAATGAAAATTATAACTCATAGTATACAGCAACAGGTCAGTTCTGTAAAGGCATGCTCTGTGCACCCAAGAAGATGCATATCTATAAAAGATAAGCAATATCTGTGATCTCCAAGAGAACCTGTAATCAAATCTAATACAATACAAAAGTTGGGATGGTAAAAATATGGATAAAATTGGAAGATGAAAATGAAGTCAGTTATGTTGATGAAGGTAAGCAAAATCAGTAGTTAGTAACTGCTAATCAAATCAGGACTTGACTAGGGTATGCTGCATCTTTGATGGTTGAACCAATAAGAATACTATGACCTGATCAAGAGTCCTTCAGAATTATAAGAATGAGGCAATAGTCTGTTTCTACTAGACTGAGCAGAATGGTAAATCCCAAGTCATCACTGAGCCAAAGCTGGATTCTAAGGATAATTTGCCTTCAATTCTGCTGCAACTTTCAAAATGGCAAGCCCCAAATGGTATTTGCTCCACTTCATCCAAAAGTGTCTCAAAAGCAACATAACCGAAGTATTTAGTTGCTAGAAGTCCAGCAACAGCAGCTCCGTGTTCGTTAACCCGACTTTATCAAAAGTAAACTACTACATCATTTCCCAAACATTCCAACTGAAACACTCAAATGTTGAAATTAAAATCTGCTAGAGACACAATCATTCAACAGGAATAGTCCAAGTCATAAAAATCCTCATCCTCATTTCCCATATCACTAACCTGACTCTGTTTCTTTTTCTTCTTCAATTTCTTTTTCTGACTTTTGCTTAATGCCTTTTTGGATAGGCTCTTCTTTTTTAGTAGGACAACAGAGCTTGAAGAAGTCAATTACCTCCTCTTCATGGGATTGTTGTGGATCAAGCATTTCTTGTTCCTCTTCCCAGCCAATAGGTGTGATCCTCCTCCCTTCTGCTAGTATTTTAGCCTTACTTCTGGTAACAATTTGCGATGGGGAGAAGGTCTTTCGGCCCTTGAGTTCCTTGCGTAGATTAAAAGGTTGCTTGAAACATCTTGAAAGATCTATTTTCAATGGTTTAAGTTTAGTATCTATGAACACTAAATCCTCGCCCTCTGAATGGGTGTAAAGTATTGGCCCATCCCTCTCCTTTGCATGATCTTCCACTGCATTAGAACATAGAACCAGGCTTTGTTCATTTATCTTTGCAAAAGGATCTTCTTCCTCTAAGCACCCAGGATCTTGATTGAGAAGAGCAGCAAATGTGTTGTTTGAAAGTGGCAAAAAAGCAGGAGCATATGGAGATAACATCCTTCTTGGCAGTGGCGGAAACAATTCACGGTATGCTTCAGAAATGTTGTATTCAGGTTCTTCCTCTCCCTTGTAAATAACCATCTGCCTCTCTTCAAGGGCCGTTTCTGTCAAAGGAGCAGTAGTGAAACCTTCTGATCCTCCTTGGTCTATAAAATTATCCTTTGTGCTTGAATGGTTTGTTTTGTCATTCTTCTGGGTTTCATCATTCACCTTCGTTTCAGAATATTGTGTATCTTGAGTTGGTGTACCAAGTTCCAAGATAGGAGTTGGGGACATAGGATGATGTTCCAGGAATTCTGTGGGTGTAGCTAACAGGACATTGTCATCCACTGTTGGTACACTAGCTGCTGAAGTAGCTTTTGAATTAGAAGCTCTATAGATGAATGAAGAGAGTACTCTGATAAATAATTTTGGTCCATCTTTGTGTGAATCAAAAGGAATGATTAAAAATCTCCTTCCCTCTATTCTTCTCTCTAAGATTTTGACATAATTTCCTCTTTTATTAGAACCCATGGTTAGCTCAATACTTCTATTTGTGTCTTTCATAAAAATCATCCAGCATCTCCTCTTGGAAAAAAGAGACAGTGATTCCAAGATCCATTTGACAGTATCCATATCAAACCACATTTGATAATTTCTAAATCCATAATCACAGATACAGACATTGTTGTTGTAGTATGAATGAAAAAGCTCAAAAACCTTAGTTTGTGTCTTGAACTTGAATCTGAGATTTTTACTGCCTTTTGAATATGTGATTTCGGCTTCATACCTGTTGGATACTATTCTGGAATCACTTAAAACGTATGAATCTTTCTTGTCCTTTGTGTCTGAATCTTTGAATAGGGCTGTTCATGTTTAGGTCCAGACCGAAAAAACCGACCGAACCGGACCGATAGGTCCAGACCGAACCCGGACCGATTGGATTTCGGGTCGGTCTTCGGTCCACCAATTTTAGAATTTCGGGTTTCGGTCCGGTCCGGTCCAAACCCGAATATCATTCGGTCCGGACCTAAAAGACCGAGACCTTAAGAAGTACCCGTAGTATCCGTAAAAGACCTAGACCAGAACCATCACTCCACCACCGTCCTTTCTATTCCTCCCCTTCCACTTTCCCAAAAATCCTCCACCGCAATTCAAATTCCAATCTCTATTCTCCAATCGAATCGGCAATCGGCTGTGACTCTAGAGGCGCAAATCGCTGACCGTCCGGATATCCGCCGTCCATGCCGCTGCCCAATCTGCTCCGGCCACCACACGCAGCGGCGAGCCTCCCCACCACTCCCAATTGCCTCCTGAGGTCCATACGACCCCATCGCCACCAGCATCGTGGGATTTGGACGCCGGAATCGCTGGGAATCAGTTACCATCCGTCACGGCGGTTTCCGGTGAGTATTTGCAGATTCCGGCAACCTCCGGCAAATTCGACGTCGTGCACCCACCCAGGAATCTTCCTGACATCTTTACGACCCACCCTAACTCCTCAATTGGAGAATTTGGTTCGGGATTGCAAAACCCCCAATTTTCCACACCTAGGGTTTTGCCGGTGGGGAAAGTTTCAATTCCGGCCACACCTAGATTCGGTCTTTTCGGTCTGGACCGGTTCAGTCCATAAAATTTCGGGTCGGTCCGGTCCAAAACCGACTACATTTAGGTTCGGTCTTCGGTCTAGGTTTTAGACTAGTTCGGTTTTCGGTTCGGTCCGGTTCGGTCCGGTCTGGTCCGGTTTTAGACCGATGAACACCCCTATCTTTGAATGGCCATCTTCTACTTTGAGTTGGAGCCTCCCTTTGTCGACGATGATAGATCTGCTTGATGTCGGATGATCGCAGGTAATGTCTTGAGTGAAACCCAAACTTGTTCTTATTATGAGTGACATAATTAAAATATGGGAGTTTATTTGGCCGGCGAGAGAGACCTCTTCGTCGGAATCTAGGAATTCCATTATTGCCGCTCCTCCTCTCTAGAAACGCTGCCATTATATATATATATATATATATATATATATATATATATATATATATATATATATATATATAAATTATATATATATATATATATATATATATATATATATATATATAAATTATATATATATATATATATATATATATATATATATATATATATATATATATTGAAGAGGAACGAGCCAAAGCTAGAGCTAATGACGATCTTCGCCAAACTCCCCTTCAAAGAACAAATCATGCAACTTAAGCTCGCACACCAAAAATTGAATGCTGAGGAGCAAAACTTCATGCAGACTAGCACTGTATCAAAGTGTATACCTACTGGATGCTCCTTGGCCACAACAACTAACCAGTTCGACCCACTTGAGGATATCCCAGATGATGATCCACTACTTGAGGAGCATCTTGAAGATAACTTAACCATTGTACGCTCTAAAAAAGCTAACAAGAAAGAAGCCCCTGATATGACGATTCAAACAAGAAGTGGAAGGGCGCCCCATGGACCGCGTGGACAGAACCCTCGAGGGAGATGTCGCGGAAGGCATGGCCGTGGTGCAATTTAAGTTTTATCTTTGCTTTATGTACTGGGTCTTGCGCCCACATTCAAAACTTTCTCTTCTTGCATTTTCTTCTCTTTGTACTTCACTTTCTCATTTAATAAAAATCTCTTTTTATAATACATACATACATACATACATACATACATACATATATATATATATATATATGGATTGACTCCAGTCAGATGACACCTTACGATGAGATGACATGCTACGGTTAGATGACACAAAGCTCCCCACTGGACACTGCAAAGCTCACCATGGACAACTACAAAGCTCACCAAACTGTAAGGCAAAGCTTACCATATTTTTTTAACACTTTGAATTTTTTTTGAAAAAAATTAAAGGAAGAGATGCTGACTGGACTTTGACCATTGACCGTTGACCATTACCGGCGACTAGACCTGGCAAAACAGAACCAAAACCGATTACCCGAACCGAAATATCCGAAACCGAAACCGGAATGATCCAAAAAATGAAAATCCGATCTATAACCGAAAACCCGAAATGATCCGAACCGAACCGAAACCGAACTAAATAATTCATATCCGATTTAAATTTGAAACCGATTAGATCCGAAACCGATAATATCCGAATCGATTAAACCCGAAACCGATTAGATCCGGACCCGATAATACCCGAAACCGATAAAATCCGAAACCGATTAGATCTGAAACCGATAATATCTGAACTCGATTAGAACTAAAATTGATAAATTCAGAACTATGTTTACCTTTCAATAAGCATATTATATTTTTGAATTTTTACTTTTATTTTACCATTTGAACTAGTTACATTACTTGCTCCTTCCCTCATAAAATGGATTATCTACTTGAAAAAGGTACAAATTTTTATGCCTTAAATTTATTATATGTAGAAATTAAAGATAAGTTATATATATAAATGATAACGTACAAACAAATAAAATTTCCGTAATTTTTAAATAGTGAAGTATGATATTCTTTTTGGGACGAAAGGAATATGTATATGATAAATTGTATGAAATAATTAGATTTTATCCTAATTTCATCTCATTGCAATAAATTTTATTGATTTGAGAGTTAATTTGATTAGTTTCAAACCAATTCACTCAATATTAGTCAATAAAATTAAATGCTAGTGTTAACATTTTGAAAAGACTCTCTAGCGGCAGCCTTTACTGTTTTCATTTTCAAATTTGATCTACACCATTACATTTAGATGTAAAATTAATTATATTTGACTCTATTAAATTTAATTTTCTCTATTTTCAACCAAATATACTCAACAATTTACAAATTTTGCACTCAATTGAATAAAATTCACTTAATTTCACCCAATTTTATGAAACATTTTTATGAAACATTTTCCCAAAATATTTCTTGATAAGACATCATTTGATGGGAATAACTACATGATATACAAAAGAAGAACCTTAGAGGTCACCACAATATAATGAAAAAGAATATCGAGTTGGATAATCGAATTGTTGTGACATACAACCCACAACTCTTGATGAGGTTTCAAGATCAAACAACATTGAACATTGAAATAAATCTAATTCAATCAAATATCTCTTTAAATATGTAAATAAAGATCTAGATAAAGTAATTGTTGCAGTTACCCAATCTAACTTTGGCATTGTTGATATTATGGTGTATTATGAAACAAATAAGTATTCTTATTGTCATTACGTATCTGCATGTGAAGCCTCTTGGATAATCCTCTCTTTTGATATACAACAAAGGTAGTGATCAGTATTGAGATTGAATTTTTATAACCCAAGGATAAAATTCGTAACCTTTAGACACCAACAAAAACTAAAAGATGTTGTCGAAGAAATTATTGATAAAGCCTCAATGTTTGAAGCTTGGATGATTTTCAATACAAAATATAATGCGGGATAAAATTTGACGTATGCAAAGAGTTTCGAGAATCTTTTATGTACAACCACAAAGTGCGGAAATAGTTCCAAGGCAACAACGACCGTCAATAGGCAGACTACAAT